AGCCTAGATAAGGGTATGGAATTTAATCGATAAACCTCCCCAGCACACCTCCCCACAAATTCACAAAACTCATTCACAAAAATCTCAAACAGAGGGGCAGAACCACCTCATTTATTGTGACACTGTACTGTGTACATGCTATTTTTAAACTATACTCTTTACTAGAATGGACATTTACACAGAGTAAGGGTCTCTGACAGATAGAAGGATGAATCAGTATAAAGTACAAAGCCTTCAAAAGACAAACATTCTGCATATAGAGAGCCAGCATTGCAGGCACCCACTGCACAAGTCACAAACTCTTTTTAGTTCTGTATAATACTGTTAGATCGGTGCAAGGTTGCAGATAATGAAAATTGACTCCTAGTATTTAATTTATGTTATATCATTCAGATCTTTATTTTAGTACCGGTATATAAACTACAAACTGGCATTTACAACTTGGTCTTGGAAATATCGCATTGCCTGATTGTCCAACAACTATCTAATATCCATCCAACATCTCTGGCTGGCTTTACACACCGAAATTACATTCACTGAAAATCTTTAATTGAAGATACAGTTGATGAAATAAGACCTTTATGCATCACAAGGTTAAACAGGAAAATGTACAAATGAAAAGCCTCTTGTATTTCTTAAGCACCTGAAGCTGATAAATGAATGCACAATGCTACAGCTTACTGACCGAGTAGAATTTCATACAGTTTGCAAACTGACTATGGATAAAAACTAGCTACACTTTGTAAAATTACATTTTGATCTATCAGGTGAACTTGTATCTCAAAGATAAGCTTGACTGAAAGCAAGAGAATAAGTTATGTTATATTAAGACAGCATATCATAAAACACAAAGCTCTTCAGTACAGTTCTGTATAATTAAATTTAGTGAACCTGTTATTAAGACATGAATCCAAATTATTTGATGTATTTGTAGGCATAGTAACATAACATTCCCTTGAAAGCTTGCCTTGTATAACTATAATTTGTTGATTATTATTTTCTATGCAATCATCAGTGATGTTTTAACTATTTTAGGCATTTAAGGAAGAAGGTAACTGTCTGAAACTGGCTATATAAAGGCAAGGATCAATGCACAATGCAAACGCTATTGGAATCATGTGTATAGAATATAAACTGCTGCAATAGAGGACTTTGGGATAACAATATGACAACTGCTGATACTACAGAGATAAGCCAACATTGCCAGTACTGTATATGAAAAATGCTCGCCATGGTGGGTCTGAACCTGTGATGCTGTAATAAAAGTTGTCCTTATCCAGTTAAAAGCCGACCCTAACCCAAAAACAAAACAATTTATATATTACAGCTTACCTGAACACAGATGTGGTGGCTGTATTTGTTTTTTTTCCTTAATTTGAATCTGATAATTCTGCAACTAGCACACTTCCTATACAAGAGTGACCATGCTCACCCACTGTATTGTATCTATGGGGGAACAACGTTTTCAAACCTATATCACAAAGTGGGTTAAAGAACTAAAGAATGTGGCCCCTTTCCTAATTTTTATTACATGGGGTGATAATTTGTAGTTCATAAAAGATATCTGGAAAAGCTGATAACAATGTTTGAGATCTCAGTTCAATACACAGGAAGTCACAAGGGCAATGCATTTCTGGCAGGGTCAACAGGCATTTTCTATACTTGCTGAAAATGTTCTTAGCCTGAAAAAAGAAAACTAATACAGCCACTACATCTAAGGACTGGTAAGTACTGTAATAGATTACATTTTTGTTATTGTACGTATATATACTTTAATTTAGTCAATGTAGATTGGTAAAGGTTCGATACATTACCATTCCTAAATGATAGCTTACATGGTTAATGTAGATATAAATTTAAAGTGATATTAATACTTCATGATCTTTAAAATATTTAGTTTCATGCAGAATCAGTTGGTCCCCTGAGTGCTGGCCCTGATATCCTGTTTTAGGGTGGCACCTTTCCCTTCCAGGGTCTTATGGAGCCACCCTTGTGTGTGCTAGCAAGCTGTGTGAATCTCCACAAACACAGATACACAGCATGGCAAGACACCCCCCCCCCTCCTCCCTGATCGCTGCACCTTCTCCAAGTTAATAGATGGATGGCTGCTGAAGACTATGTCCTCCCTTGTGAACTTGTACTAGACAGGAAGTTCAGGGAAGCCAAGTTGAGAGAGTTGGAGCTGTTCAGAAACATGATAACTGTAAGTGCCAAAAATATAAAGAAATACTTTGCTGGGCAATCTTTATTTGCTTGATCTGAACTCATTATTGAGACAAAGTTTGAGAGTTTAACCCCTTCATGCCGGGAGACATACACTGTACGTCCCGCCACAAAGTGCCCAAATGACTGCTCACGTACACTATAGGTGATCAGCTATTTGGGGCTCTGTAATGCTGGTACCCGCTGAGAATCAGCGGTTACCATTTATTTATGGATGCCTTAATATTGAGGCATCCATTAATGAAAGAGTTAAGCTTTTTCAGACACCCAATCCCTTTCAGGAATCGTGTGTCTGACAGTAAGAGCAGAGCGGTATTTACAGCTCTTGCCGTCACTGACAGCTGGTATGGATAGAGAAATCCCAATGTATACTGACTTTTTTTCCCTAAACTTTCAGCAATATAAACATTTAGCTACATCTTTCTATTCCTGAAACAATGTTGCATGTTTCTGATAATTGTTGGAACGATCAGAAAACCTTTAGTGACATCTGATTCTGAAATGCTGCAGGATAAGTGTCACTTAGTGTTCTTAAGTTTGAAGCAGCCTAATCATAACAACCAAAAATGGATTAATTAAATTATCAAGCAGTAATAGCGAGATTCATTCAAAATGACTGCTTGATATAATAAATTAAATAAAAATTTAAAAAAAAATTAAATAGTGAAAAGTGTAAAAAAAATAAAAAATAAAGTGTAAAAAAATAAAAATAATTTTAACAGATAAAAATGATATATTTAAATATAGTTTTATACTATCATTAATGTAAAAAATAGCCCATTTTTTCAAAATGTAACCCCCTTATGACAGTGATTCAAAGTATGTCACTAAGTGTAACACTTAGTGACAGTGATATTGTATGTCACGTGACCACTTCTAGCTTTAGCTTTTAGAGAAAAAAGATTAAGGTTAGGTTTTAGTTTTAGGCTGAGAAGTACAGAAACATTTCTAGAATTCTAGGAATGTGAGGTTTTTCCAAATAAAGGACAAATAAAAGAATGTATTTATTGCATTTATTTTAGCTGTGCTATTTTTCTTTTTTTCTAAATACTACAAATCAAAACTGGAGAAAGTGTTTTCCTTACGTTTTTTTCCTCAATTTTAATATTTGTCCTAAGTGATTCGTTTGGTACACATATGTGATATAAGTATATAGCTCTATCTGTCCTCTAAAAAACAATATATAATATGTGTGGGTGCACTTTATAAGAAAGTATATTACCGATGTGGAAGAATCACACAGCAAAAATGTCAAAAGTGTGTCAGTCATTTACGAACAGAAACTAAAAACAAGCTCAGTCATGAAGGGGTTAATATCACTTTAAAATGTTTGTTTTGGCAAACAATGTGACTGGGTTATTGCACACTGTTTTACATTGTTGGTTTTATCTCTGTGATATTTGTTCTTCTACCTTGGCCTTGGATGTCAGAATTGGTATGCTCAGATTCATAGAAGAGTTACAAGGGTTGATTAACTAAAGGTAAGTAATAGGCCAAGGTATCTTGGCCGTGTTTGTGGGAGGAGTTGCGCCTGCCCTCCTCCCCTTAAATAGGGGGATAGGGAGCTCCTAGAGACGTCACGGCGAGGTCACGCTTGACCCGCCCGCCCTTCCCCTGGTTCTATCATTTCACTAGAGCGTGCCCACTTATTTGGCACGCTGACCACAAAATCATGGCACACATCAGGTGGGTATCAGTAGGGGTCATGAAGATTCGGAAACCGAAGTAACTCTGACCACAAATAGGCTGTTTACTTTGCAAGCGGATTTGCACTTTGCAGAGGAAGTTTCCCTTAGGCCTGGTTCACACCTGTACGTTTTGTAGCGCGTTCAACGCTCTACGAACGCTCTACAAAACGCTCAAACATTAAAATCCCATTGTTTTCTATGGGTATGGTTCACACCTTGCCGTATTTCAGCCCGTCTGAACACGCTACAAAATGGCCTATGCCTGAAAAGGTACATGAGCTTCTTTGCTGCGTTTTTGTTGCGCGTTTCCATTGGGATACAGCCAAGTAGCCCTCGGAAACGCACGTTTGTCGCGCGTTTTTTTAACGCGAATCGCAGTAAAACCGAGCGTCACAAAACGCGCGAAAAACGCGCATATTCGATACGCCTAGGTGTGAACAGAGCCTTAATTACGTGAATGTGGTGAGAATTCCCTTTGCACAGAATAATCATGATCAAGGAAAATTAACAAAAAGTACATGATTGGATGATGGAAGTCAGCAAAGTGAGCAGTGGGCCAGCAAACCCTTAGGTCTGCCTTGCAGACCTAAGGGTTGCAGAAAATAATTGAGTGTGTTTGTTCTTTATTATATATATCTATAATAGTACATATTAAAATGTTAATATTGTGACCTTCAAAGTTCACGTGACTTTTAACACAAAACGTGGATTTCTTCCTATAGTAAGCAGGTGCACGTGCAGCTGCTTTAGAAAAACATGTTCAATGTGGAATATTTGCACTGTGGTGGGTTTTTGAGCCACATTTTATGTTAATGCCCATTAGTCCAAGAGGATATTCATGCTCACACAACTCTAATTACAAAACATTTCCATAAAGATGATTGTGAATATGTAAACAAGTTTGACTGCAAGATTCAGTGTAATTACCAATTAACGAAGCGACAGCAACCAAATAACAGTACAAAGCGAAATAAAAACAATTTTGGCAGCAATTTCTTGTAATGGAAATAAATCGATGGAGCAATTGCTTTTCTGTGTCAGTTTTCATGTTTTATTACCTGCTTAAAAATATATATATATTTTACTTACCACATCAATTATTTGAAGAAGAGAAAGTTGTAGTTCTACAAGTAAAGGCTGTGAATCATTCATCACAGGTCTTTCAAGGCGATTGTAATTCCTTAGAAGTTCTCTGTAAAGTTTCCTTTGGTATTCACCTTGATGGGAACCTTTCAAGACAAGAAGGATTGTTAGATTACATTATATAGTATTTAGTTGAGACTTATATTTAAGTGGTTTCATGTGATATAATCCTTTTACTGTGATCTTTAGGCTTCAAGGAGTAATCCCACCCAAAAAGGATACAGTATTTCAGTGTATGATGGACCCTGGTGGGCTAAATCACCCATAGATTTTAGCACTCACAACTAGAGTTCTAATAGCTCCTCTTTTTGGCATGACCTTTGAAACCTGTGTTGACGGGCTTTGAGCCTTTTGCAATCGCATCAGTTTGACGCTATTCATGTTATTCGGTGCCGCTGATGATGATTATGTCCCACTAGCTGCATAGACAACAAATCACCATTTGTAGCTGCTAAAAAGCTTCACTTCAAAGTTGGTAGTTTGACACCTTTCTTAGAGATCAATACACAGACTGTTGCTTAGGGAGTGGCATATCCCTTTGCTTTTGACAGTAGGGACCTGTGCCGATGGGTGTTAGGCTTGTGTTTATGGCATCAGGTTGAGATGATTCGGAGATCATGAAGAATTGATTGCCAGGTAAATTTTTCCTGCACTTACTCTCCTTATGCCCTGCAACTGACCTGCTTCAGGCAGGTTTTGCATTCTCAAGAACTTGCATGGAAGTGCAAAAACGCGAACTAAAGCCCATTGACACAGACCCTCAGGATGTCAAGTGGGAATGTATTGTGTTTCCTGCAGATTTTTGGTTCCTATAAATTTGGTAAATACATTGTTTATTCTTTGGCATAAAGGAAATGGCAGGTAGATGGAGCTTGGTAGTTCGTTGAGTAATCCATGGAATAATTCAGCTTGTTTGCATTTACCTAGCCCCCAAAGGTCCATTTTGGTTGGTAATAGTTTTAAATATGTTTCTCTAGCTGTAAAAAAAACCTTTGTGTAAACATGAATTCCCTCCTAAAAAATATATGTAATAAAGATCCATGTAAAAATATGGGTACATAGAGTGGGGAAGGATTACAACCTCTGTCAGTTTTTTTTGTTTGTTTGTTTGTTTTTTTTGTGCCATGTCTCCTTTCTTTTTGTCCTAATGACTGAATGAGAAAAAAAATCAAAATTTTGGGTTGTCATTAGAACAGAAATAAATCTTCCAATGTGAACAGTAGTTCTGAGGACCCTGTTGAGCACAACATATCTCCCTTTCTTTGGAGGGATTTCTTCTTACTTCCTGATGTGGGACAAGAAGTGAAGGGAATTCTCTCGAATGGGACACAAAAAAATCTGACAGGGGTTATAACTTTCCCTTACTCTTTTTTACAAATGAAAAAATATTTTGGCTCAGTTCTACTTTAAGAAAGGAGAAATAACTGGAAATACGTCTAAATCACAAAGCAGGTGAGGGCAAAGAAACTAATTAAGGGGATGGAGACCAAAGCTATGAGACAAGGTTACTAAATGTAAACATGTTCACGCTGGAAGTGAGGAGATTTGGGGGGGACATGATCTTGATGTACAAGATGTTCAATGGGGATAGCAACATCAGCAATAAAATTTTACGGTAAACTCCATAACAAAGACTAGAGGCCACCACCTAAAACTGGTGGAGAAAAGATTTAACCACAAGGAGCGTAGGGGCTTCTTCTCAGTTAGAGCGGTTAGGGTCTGGAACTCACTGCCACAAGCAGCGGTATCAGCTGAGAGTGTTGAATGATTCAAAAAGCATTTGGACAATTTCCTCAGAGGTCCTGTAAAAAAAAACAAGGTCACACAAGGACTCATACACACGCATACACATGCATAATTCCACACATACACGCGATAGGTTGAACTTGATGGACCTGTGTCTTTATTCAACCTCAAATACTATGTAACTATGTAATTAAGTTTGTTATTTTCTACCTGGAGTGCCTAAAATGCAATGCCTATTAAATAGAAAAGACAAGTAGGCCCTGAAAAAAGAGTTTGTGAGCATCATTACGATGTGATATCTACAAATATGCGCTCCATTATTGATGTTTATTTATCGTTTAAGTCTGGTGATTTATTACCTCTATATCCATTTAGTTTTTGGTTTTTAAAGGTCTGTATTTTGTTCCCCTCCTCTGAGGTTTAAAATGTGGACAGTTTAGAATTTGTACTAAAAAAAATTAATCTTTCAGTTTATGAACTCCAGTCAGATAGAAAGGACACACGTGATGCTATTGCAACTCTTGAACATCCAGAAGATTTTTTTTTTACAAGTTCTGGACTGTCTACATTTAAACCCAAGAGGAGGGAATAAAAACAAAGACCTTTTAACACTTGAAATGGATATACAGTAATATACTAGCAAGGTTAAATGATAAATGAGACTTTAGACCTTTTATTAATGAGATGAGTGATAGAAATTGGAAAAGTTTCTGGGCTCTGTTTTAGATGTATTTCCTCTTCATTTTCTATGTCCACGTGCATGATTTTCTATCTCTATCTCCCTAATCACATAGAGATTTGTGAATGATAGATCAGAAATTATACTGTGTAGGTTCCCTTTAAAAGAAAGCCAAAGATAAAGAGATTTTGTGTTCTTATATTGCCCTCCAAAGGATTACAGTAAGTAATGTTGATTAATAATAATTATTAAAATGGATAAAGAGTTTTTCATTATGTGCTTTATGAATAGTATGAAGAAACACATTCCTGTCGATATGAATTGAATTAATGAAATTTAGAAACAGGCAGGTTTTTAGGTGATGTTTTCATTGCAGAAATTCAGATGGATAAGGACGTAGTCCAAAATGCAAATGAGGTCGCACACTGATAACATCACTGTGGTTCAAAACAACTCAATTCAGGCAAACACAAGTGCTGCCTAGCCAACCTTTGATTCACTCCTCTTTGATGCGTTTCACCCTCATGTGTTTAATTGTCGTGGCAATGCTCCAGGCCTCAGTCTGAGAACATGGCTTCCCTTCCTAGACAGCAGGCCTAGAAGGGTCAGACTATCCTCAGCACCCTCCCCCAGGCAGGAGGCCCAGGGGTAAAAGAGTCTCACATGGTCAGCTCCGAATATTTATGTCCTCCCCAAGCATGCACCACTGGCCATGAACCTCCTAGTGATTGGCTAGGTAGACAGATACTCATAACACAACATTATTGCTTACTCTGTTCTGTGACAAGGTTACATCCAGCAGCAGGCAAATGCAAACGATAACAGAGTGCTTAGGAGAAACCAAATGAGCACAGACTATAAAAATCAAGATCAGACTGACAGTACAGTATGACAGCAGCTAAATTTAAAGTCCATAACAATTCAAATTCAGATACTTACCCTGTTTGTATTTTTAAAAAACGCATTTAATGGTGTATCCATGATTGAAACAAAAATGGTTGTGGTGCACAGATCCTAACTCCCTGGGTGCCAACCCCTGGTTGAGTTGTAATAACAAAGAGGAAGGAAAGAGTTGGGGTTTTTGTTAAGGCACCTGAGAGACAAGTCCAATAAACTTCAAGCCAAAATATGTATATAAAAAAATATGTAATTTATTTGACAAAAAGTTAAAAGCATTAGACAATGCGTGTGGAATATAAAAAAGACACGCACTTCAGAAGGGATTTCCTAACACCCCCTTGGGTTCCAAAATTCGAGGTTGAATAACATGATCATAGGTCTATAAACATGGATGGAATACAGTGATTAAGTGTAAAATTAGGTACCTCGGCTTATATTCGGGACGGCTTATACTCGAGTATATACGGTACATATCATAAGAGTAAGTCATTTTTTCATGATAAAATTTCATGATAATAAAGAACCTCTAGTGGAACACAATTAGTGGGTGGTGATGTAGTACTTGCAATGCTCAAGGTAAAGCAGTACTTGAAAGTCTCTACGCATTTCGCGCCGCAGGGCGCTTTATCAGGAGGAGGAGGTAGTCTAAAGATCATACAAGAACATAATGTAAGTAATTGAACATCAGTCTAATTGTACAAAAGAATCTGTTAGTACCGAAATGTGCCAACTAATCTTACCCCCTCAATGTGAAATCAACAAATGCGTAGCACAGGCGTCGAGCAGAACAAGGGGGGGCACGTATTCCCAGGGTGGAGAAGGCTGGAGTAGGCACGTCAGGGGCTGGTACTATGAGGTGCTGAGGGCATAGAGAGAAGTGTATTCATGTCCAAGGTGTAACCAATTAAGATAAGTCATATCCAAGTATATACATATAAGAGAAGAGAGCATAATCTGCTAATAGAGAGACCTTGGTAGTTACAGCAACTAGATCTTAATGGACATTGCAACCTATATATACTATCTCAGGTGTAACCAGAAGCAGAACAATCTGTATATGTCCAAAAAGGGGTTATGTGATAGAAGAAATACATGAGGATTTGAAATCAGCCATCCATGATTACAGAGCTGCATTAATATTTGTCTCTTACATCTGCATGTAACTTTAGGTAACCATTAGAAACATGTTTCCTGTGATGTGGCATATACTTCAGGATTGTTTTGTTCTTTGATGCATAACATTTAACCAGTATTCTTACAATACTAACACTTACTAACAATGAGTCTTGATTTTAGTTTCCTTGGAGTGGAGGAGAATAATACAATGTTTGGTGAACTTTTGAACCTTACCCATGAAAAGGAACCTATCATGAGAAGACATGGAGGCTTCCCTTACTGACCTCTCCATTTGAAAATGCTAGTTACCTGGCTGTCATACTTCTCTAGTACATGCAATGTCCAACACTTCAGTACTACATGCAGTACTTCACACCAAACCCATTCGGCGGGCGAGCACTGTGCCTTATGAGCCCTAATTGGCTAAAGCCTTGCATCTGACCACAGGTCAGGTGCAAGACTTTGCCCAATCAGGGCACAGAGAACTGTGAAAGCCAGTTGTAACAGATGAGCCATGATTGGGAAAAGTCATCATGACTTTGCCCAATCATGGCTCACCTGTTACAACTGTAAACAGTTGGGCGGAGCTAGCTTGCACGCTGGACATCGTTATTGACGCTGGATTATGTCAGTGGATCCATTTCA